TCATTTGGTCACTCATTCATATGAAAGTCATGTTCTTTATAATTCACTGAATGCTATAAAAGAAAACCCTCTGCACTAGTAGTCCTGGAATTTTATTCTTTCTTTCTTTCTTCCTTTCTTTTCACATTCATTATGTATTCATTATCTAGTCAATATACATTTATTGAATAAACACTTGGCTACATGGCTGACATTGTCTGGCATGAAATCACAGGCACTGTGGAAACACAAATAGGGACCTACAAAGGCTCAAACCAGATGGGGTCCCAGCGATGAGATGGAGAATTGAACACAGAGTCCACAATAGGACATTTGCTATTGATACCCACTGGCAAAGAGATCAGTTTTCTCTAATGGAATGTCAGTGGGTTTATTAACCACATTCCAGAGTAGGCCCAAGCTCGTGAATAGCTGACCAACATAAAATGAACTCCACCTCCCTTGTACGATGACTCGTTTTTATAGATTTTTGTTTGGTTGGTTTTGAGAGAAAGAGAGAACATGAAGCTGAGTGAGTATGGGAGTGAGTACAGGCAATCTGGGAGTAGTGAGGGAGAGGAAAATCACGATTAAAAAGAGAATTAAGATTTAAAAAAAAAAAAAAAAAAAAAAAAAGTAGCTTTGTCCCTTGACCAAAAAGAAATGAGGCTCTTTTAAAGTAGTGCCACCCAGGTAATAAAGCCCTTTAGCTGACTCATTAGGTCTGGAGTAAACTTCATCATCTCTATTTTGTCAAAAATACTATAGGTAACTCATAATGTACCACAAGTTAAGAATTACAAGTTTATCTCTCAAGATCTAGGGGCTTAGGAGGAAATAGTAAACAGCCCCTGCTGTCAAGAAGAACACCAGAGACAAATTGATGAGTTGGGTAAATAAGGGGGCAATTGTGAAGAGTTTGCTGTAATGAGTTCTGCCTGGGTTAAGCCCACCTTTTCCCACATATGCATTTTTCTATGTCAGCCAAGTCTGTTAATGGATTATAAAACACAAAAATGAGAATTTTTCTCCATTTATAAAACCAAAGCGCTCAAATTGTGGTTAAGACCATATTTTCTGTCTTAACTACTCTATTCCATAATTGAGTGAATTAGGTATACCGTGATTAAACTCAGGAAGTGGAAAAGCAGACAAATTCTATTTCTGATAAAAGCCCGTGGGAGATTAGGGAGAGGTGAAGGGTTGCAAAACTGAGCTCCTTAAAGGCAGGGACCATGTCTCACTTTCACTGATATTTTCTCCCTTATGGCCTAATCCAGACCCCAGCATCTAAGAAGGCACCAAATCTGGTGTGATTTTGTCTCTTTTCCCCCAGTGGCTTGTAAACAGGTGGTTCTCCCTAACCTTTGATACCCCTGAGAACTGTCCTAGCACTAGGACCAATGACTGCAACAAAGGAAACCCACTTGGAGTCTTTCAAGATGACAGAATGTTTACTCTTGGCTTAATTAAAAAAAGAAAAGGAAAAAGAAAAAAAGCCTTGTTTAATCCTTCATGTTGGGTGGGCTTTTTCCTTTCCTTTCTTCTTTTTTATTTATTGGTATTATTGCTAATTGGTGCTTTGTTAGTACTGCCTTGAACTCTGTTCTCTTATGGTTACATTATATTCTTCGTGTGTGTGTGTATGTGTGTGTGTGTATTTATATGTAGACTCTAGAGATCTATATTAGGTTTCTTCCTCAGTTGCTGTTCTTGATTTTTGAGACAGGATCTCTCAGTGAGGCCCTGGTATCCAACTGTCTCTAGCCCCAAATTGCTGGGCCAGTAGACATGCACCACCTTGCCAGGCTTTTACTGAACACTCCGTGTCTGAACCAAGATCTCATACTTGCACAGCAAGCACTTCATTGACTGAGCCATTTTTCCAATCCCCCTTTTTATTTTCTTTTAGTTTTATTTTATGCAATATGAATTACCTACCTTTCTTCCTTCCTGTATGCTACAGAAACAAAGCACTAATACTAATGAAGAGAAGCCTTGGAAAGTACTTTATCCAAAACAGAGAAGGATGTGTGCAGATACTCTGAGCAACACCGAGATGCTTCAAAAAGCCCATCTCCTGTTCTCTGAGGATAAGACAGGAAAGTCACTGGACCATACATAAAAATCCTCTCTAGGAAATCTATTAAATATAGTCCACATCAGAATTCCATAAACAATAATCACAAAGCCCCCTGAATGAAAGCTTAATAGATTAGTAATATCATGTTATTCTTAAGACCTAGGTATAATTGAAAGGTTTTGTGTTCGTTTTCTTTGACTACATGGCATTATGAAGGTCAAATGGGACTTCCATGAAGAAAAGCTTGTTTGATTACAGGGGTCTTAATTTGACATCTGCAGGTTTCTACACAGTGTGGATATATCTAATGTGAACATAGATTATATAAACTTTAAATTGTGTTATATAGAACATTAATATAACTTTACTTTATGTTGCTACTTTGAAGTAAAAATAAATTTCCTCAGATTAAAAGAATTGGTCAAGATCCTCATAGTTTTACAGCTAGCTGACTGTTAGGATTATAAACGGCGTCTATTCTGAGGCCATAGGAAAGTGCCATTTATCTGGGAAGCAGAAATGTCTTTCATATTTTGAGGATACTCCAGATATCAATTGATTATTCTTAGTATTTTGTTGTAAGATATTATTTTATTGTTTTTCAAAAACATTCACTGACAGTAGCCAGAAACTACATCATGCTCCCCCACCTTTCTCTATCTTATGAACTTAGTTAACATAAAGCCATATGTGGATATGTACTATGTTTAAAACTATATCCTGAAATGAATATCTTTGAAATGAAAAATGTGTTATAAAAAATCAAATTAAGCAATTGCTATGTATAACCATGTTCTTAATTTCTGCAAAATTTTAAATATAATAGTAAGAAAACATTTAAATCATTTAAAAGCACCCTGAAATATTTGATAATTACTTGGCTGTATGAATATTTGGTTATTATTTTACATGAAAATGCATGTTTTTAAGATGTATTTTCCATGGCATTTCTCTTTTGAACATTGGTGTTGAATTTTGTAAAGTCCAAAATAGCTAGGAATTCACTCTTACTCAAGAGCCTCAGATAGTATCTCACTGAATTTTGTTTAGATCTTTACAACTGTGTGAAACACATTTCTTAGTGACCTAAACTATTTTTTTTCTTGAAAACATGAGGAATCAGTTAACAGATAGAGTGAAACTGACGTACATTTTCTGTTTTGACAGTGACATCTTATTTCTGAGAGACCTTCAGGTTGGAGGACAAATTGGTAGCATGTAGGTTTTAGAAGGTGCAGAGTGAGCTCATCATAATGATGGTTTATGTAGATACTCAGATTCTTCATGCTTGTGTATGTTACTTCTCCTATGATGCAGTTCACAAAGAAAATTAATATACAGTACTGGCTGTACCCATTCTGTGTAAACAGTATGAAATATGAGCTAAGCATACATATACTTGTATGATTTACTTTTCTCCCAGAAGCATATCCAAGATATTCAAATACTAGTAATCCACCCATTCTCTCAATTGTTCATTTGTAAGAAATATAGAATAAAAATATAAACTCTTGAATATTCACTAACAGCCTGTTCTTAAAGGTAAAATTCTCAAATAAATTTATTGACATTTCTAAGATTTATTAACATCATATTTGTTGATCAAATCTCATATATAATTTATTATTTTTGCTCAACCCAATGAGCTGTACATAGCAAGTTTGGTCTTATACACATGTTGCAGAGTATTATGAATAAAGTATCTATATCATTCTGCAGTTTGCTTCTTTTGTGATCAGATTCAAGTCTCATTATACTTGTGATTTGATTGGTTTTCCTTCCTGTGGATTCTTAGTGCCTTTTGAAGCAAAAGTTTTGAATTTTGAAAGACTCCCAACTTACCACACTTTTTCTTTTATCATTCATGATGTGATTATTTTAAACAGTATTTTTATTCCTAGAGAATTTCATAACAACCCACCCCCTCTGCCTTCCCATCCTTTCCCACCAAATACTGAACATTCTTCTCCTTTGCCCCCCTCGAAGTTTAGTTTTTATTGCCCAATGAGTCTGGGGGAGTGGGGCCTGCCCTGGTTTGTGGTCAATCTACTAGACATCAGGTCCTTAAAGAAAACCAACTCTTCCCTATTCCAACAGCTATCACAGGCCAATAGCTCCTCAGCAAGGGGTGGGACTTGATGATCCCTTGGCCTCTGTGCTGGATATTGTTTGGCCTCAGCTTGCATGGGTCTTATACATGCTGTCACTGTTTTCTTGAAGTCATCTATCATATCACTGCCACCACCATCACTACCAAGACCACCACCAACAGCAACACCAGCTCTTAGTAACTTTCTGCTCCTTCTTCCAGAAAGATCCTTGTGTCTTGAGGGGAGGAGTATAGGTCCTATCTAGAGCAGAGCACTCCCCAGTCTCTTATTCTCTGTACATTGACTCACTGAGGATCTGGTATTTTCTTTGTTGCTTTTATTACTTTTCTTACTGTCTTTAGCTTGTAGCAGTTCAATTATGATGCACCAAAATGTAGTTGTCTTTATTTTATTTGTAGCAGACTACATTTTCTTATTACTATAAGTTAATGGTTTTTGTAATGTTGTGAAATTATATATTACTACCTTCAAAATGTTCTTCTACCTCTCTTTCTTTGTTTGATTACAATTGCTGTTGAGTTACAAAATAGTTATATAACTTAAACCATAAAGAAAAATTAAAATGAGAGGGAATTATGAAATGTTACAATTTCTCAGAAATTTTAGCTTTTAGGGTTTTTTTTTTTTTATTATTTTACATATCAATCCCAGTTCCCTCTCCCTCCCATCCTCCCATTCCTCCAACTGCCCCCACAACCCATTACCCATCTACTCCCCATGGAGGGCTAGCTATTTAAAAAGGGTAAATAGTGCACACCCTAGAACGTTTACTTAGCAAAAGTTAATGTTGCCTGTCTTCTTTCCTTATTCTTATAAAACCTCTCTAGGTGCCTTTCCTCCCTCTGCTGTCTATGCAAGAAAGGACTTGCTGCAAAGGTCTACCCACATCGCTACCAAGACTTTCCAAGCGCTTCCGCATCTTTGTGAACAATGAGCTGAATGAGCTCTACACAGGACTGAAAACAGCACAGAAATTTCTGAAAAGTGGTGGCCGCCTTGTTGCCCTCTCCTTTCATTCTTTAGAAGATCGCATTGTGAAACGATTTTTGCTTGGGATAAGCATGACAGAAAGATTTAACCTGGGCATTAGACAGAAAGTGAAGCAAACTTCACAGCTGAATTCAAGTCGTGGGAGTGTTGAGAGTGAAAGGAGCAGCCCTGTAAGAGCTCCTCTGATGTGGGATCTCATTCACAAGAAGGTGCTCACTCCGGAAGATCAGGATATCCAAGAAAACCCCAGAGGGCGCTCAGCCAAGCTAAGGGCAGCTATCAAATTATGAGGCTCTTATTATTCGATCCTTAAATTTTCCTCCTGTACTTCTGTTTTTGTTTTCTAATATAGAAGTGTTTCTGAACACTTTAATGCAACGTAAAGTATGGGGCAGCCTGGAAATGAGTGATAAGTATTTTTTTCTCTAAAGATAATGTAGGAAGCTTTGACATGGCATAAAAACTTCCACTCAGAGATCACAGAGTCTCAAAATGGGAACTTGTTGATCTCTGCGTTGTATTTGAATTATAAAATTCAGTCATTTCTTTAATGAAAAAAGTGGAAAACCACAGAGACAGCTGACAGGAGCTTCCTGAGAACCCTGGGACTCTAGACAAACAGCTCGCTCAGGGAGCCTGCATGGGCTGAAGGAGACCATTTGAATGTGCATGACAGTTGGGTGGCTTAATCTGTTTGTGAAGCCCCTGGCAGTGGGACCAGGATCTATCCCCTAGTGCTTGAACTGGCTTTCTGGAGTTCATTTCCTATGGTGGAATGCCTTGCTCAGTATTGATGCAGTGGGGAGGCTTGGTCCTGCCTCAACTTAAATTGCCAGGCTTTGTTGACTCCCTGTGGGAGGCCTTACTCTTTCTGAGGAGTGGATGGGAGGTGTGTTGGTGGTGAAGTGGAAGGAGCAGGAAGAGGAGAGGGAGAACTGTGGTTGGTATGTAAAATGAATTTTAAACTTTTAAATAAAAAAAAATATTGAATCACTGCATAAATTTTTGTGGCTATTTTGTTTGTGTTTTTATATTATAGTCACTAGTTTATAAGTGACTAAAGTATACCAATTAAGTTTTTGTAAGTAATGTATTTGTCACCTCACTTTAAACATTGCAAATGTTTGAAAAACATACATTCTTTAGTCTCTGCAGAATGTTATATATTTCCAACGGTTTTTAAAACTCTGATTATTTTTGTTCTTGAAAGAATAAACAATTACTATCATGTATGCTTTCAAGAACAATTCTATCCCCCTTTTTCATTTCTGATTTGGTTGATTTGCATGTTTTCTCTCTGCCTTTTGGTTGGTTGGAATAAAGGTTTGTCTGTCTCATTGATTTTCAAGAAGAACCAACTCTTTGTTTCATTGATTCTTTGTACTGTTTTCTTTGTTTTCTACTTTATTGATGTCAGTCTTCAATTTGATTATTTTCTGGCTTCTACACCTCTTGGGTGAGTTTGCTTCTTTTTCATCTAGAGGTTTCATGTGTGCTGTTAAGTCTCTAGTGTTACTATTCTTCAGTTTCTTCATGTGGACATTTAGTGCTATCTCTTAGCACTGCTTTAAATATGTCCCATAAGTTTGGGTATGTCGTGCCTTCGTTTTCACTGAATTCTAGGAAGTCTTTAATTTGTTTGTTTATTTCTTCCTTGTCCCAGGAGTGATGTAATTGAGCATTGTTTAATTCCATGAGTTTGAAAGCTTTCTTCAATTTGTGTTGTTGAAATCTAACTTTATAGCATGGTGATCCAATAAGATACAGGGCATTATTGCTTTGTTGGTGGGTATGTGGTCGATTTTAGAGAAGGTTTCATGTGACAATGAGAAGAAGGCTACCTTAAATGCCATCCTAGAGCCTTTACCCAGTAGCTGATGGAAGCAGAAGCAGAGATTCACAGGTAAGCACTGAGCAGAAGAGAGGGAGGAATGATGAGTCAAGACCATTCTGGGGGAAGCCCACAGAAACAACTGACCTGAGCAAGTAGGAGCTCACAGACACCAGTCTGACAGTGGGGAGAGCAGCATAGGACAGAACCAGGCCCCCTGAGCATGGGTGTCAGTTGATAGGCATGGGCAGTCTATGAGGCCTCTGGAACCAGTATTTATCCCTATTGCAGGAATGGACTATGGGGGCCCATCCCCCTACAGAGGGATACTCTTTCAGCCTAGATAAATGGAGGAGGGCTTATGCCCTGTTCCAAATGATGTGATAGACTTTGATGATCCCCCATGGCAGGCCTCACCCTCCCTGGGGAGCGGATGGGGGGGTGAGATGGTGGGTTGGTGGGGCCATGGGAGGATGGGAGGAGAGAGGGAACTTGGATTAGTATGTAAAATAAGATTGTTTTTAATTTAAATAAATTAAAAATGTTTTTCAATAAAAAAGAACAATTCTAAGTATTCTTTTATTTTTGCTTGTTTGTTTTTCTTTTGGGTTTTGGTTTCTCAAGACAGTGTTTCTCTGTATAGCTTTGGAGCATGATGTGGAACTAGCTCTTGTAGACCAGGCTGGTCTCAAACTCACAAAGTTCCACCTGCCTCTGCCTCCCGAGTGCTGGGATTAAAGGCATGGGCCACCACTGCCAAGCAAGAACATTTTATACTCTCTGCTTCCATATTCATATTAATGTATTATGCCAAATGAGGTGTTATTAATTTAGATGGTAAAAACTCTGGGTAAATAAATATGAAATGAAATTATAAAACTATGTCATTTGTAAGTCTATATTTTAACTCATTTGTATGATTGCTGCAATATTTTAGTAGATATTTTATCTATTCAGCAATCTTCAGTTGAACAAGATAATATTCAAGTAAGAGAGATTTGTGAGTGTTTGGTAAATATAAATTGGTGGCAGAAATCCTAACTCTGAGATGCACTTTTCTCAGAACTTCAATACCATGTGTTTAATATCAGATGGAGAATTGTTTGCAAAGTCTACAAATACCTCAAGAGAGGTATCAAAATCGTTCTATATTTCTCAACTTCATATTTTTATCCAATTTTATTTGTGCATAGATGCTATTTTCAGTTAATGTTTAGTAACACAAGGTGCTCTGACAATTTAAAGAGAATCTGTAAATATAAATTATGTTTTTAAAGTCTTACTACACTAAAAGCTTTAAAAATTAAAGATGTAATAGAATGATTTGTGCTAGATAAAAGTAGACCTAGTTCATAATACCTATCACAAGTTCTTCAAAAACATTTTGGCCACTTTTTATCTCAAAATCCATTCAAGCTATTAGACAAAATGAAAAAATAAGTATTATTTTGATGTATGAAAAAGAGGTTGTTTCTTTGGTGACAGTGCATCCCCTTATGCAATATGTTGCCTTAATTGCTTAAAATGATTTACTCGTAACAGGTTCCCTAGTTGTGTTTCTGATTACTCAAATGATTATATAGAAAGCTAAAAATCAAAGAAGGGCATGAGATACTTCTGATCCTTGAATAACTGTGTCCCTTGAGCTTTAGCTTATATTTACCTATTACTACTCATCAACCTTACTCAAGTGAGGGCTTATATTAATAAGCAATCAACATGAGCCCCATCATTCTCTCAAGGCAAGTGTTATCCAGTGCTACTGGAACTAACATGACGAACTGTGTAAATAAATATGACTATTGATGATAGGTAAAATAAAAACAATTTTAATTTCAGGTCTGCATTTGATTGCTGAAATTGTGAACTTAGGTATGCTATTTAATTCCTAGAATTCTTGTTTACTTCACTTTATTTTTTTATTTTAATAACCAAGTCCATTTAAATGAAAACAAGCATTTATAGACAATATTTGGGAATTTGGACATCATTCTTTCCAAACTACTTCCTGATGGTAAGGGCGCTGTCATGGGGGATTCGAAGAAGTTTCAGAAATCCTGGCTGTAGTCTGTCAGGCTGCTTTGTCCAGCTGTTTGAAAGTAGGATCACCTGGTACTGTTTCAGGTGGTCTGGCTTGATCAAACCACATTAGTCTGGAAGGAATCCACATCTTTTCATTTTCTGTGGAAACAAAACTAAAAATCCTTTTCCCCAGTAACTTGTCCTTCAACTTAAATTTTGGAGTCAAAGCATTTTTTTTAATTTATTATTTTACATGTCGATCCCAGTTCCCTCTCCCTCCCCCTCCCTCCCTCCCTCCCTCCCTCCCTCCGTCTTTTCCTCCCTCCCTTCCTCCCTCCCATTTACCCTCTCATCCCTCTCACATGCACTCTAACCACCCTTCCCTCCCATCCCCCCACCCCAATTCCATATGTAGGGGAATGCCATCCAGTTGGGGTCATGTAGATCTCTCAAGTCATGTGAAGTAGGGCCTGGGGCTTCTTTCCTGTCTCTAGATTAAGGCAGTTATCCCTTATGCCTTAAGGGATGTGTTTACAAAGTCGTTTTGTGCACCAGGGATACATCCTGGCTCCACTGTTTGAGGTCACTTAGTCTGTTAAGTCCTTCTGACTGAGACCCATATTCAGAGGGACCTGAGTCACTCCCATGCTGGCTTCCCAGCTATCAGTCTGGTGGCCCATTAGCTCCTCCTTGATCGGGTAAGCTGTCTGTATGTGTTTCTGCAGCCTGGTCTTGTCCTCTCCATCTGCATCTGGGTTCTACTTTGACTCAGTGTTTATGTATGGGTGTTTGCTCCTGTTTCCAACAGGCATTAGTTGAGGGCTCCATGGATAAGTTGGTTGTTGATCTCACTCTCTGGGAAGGGCATTTATGGTAGCCTTTCCACGGAAGCTCAAATTGTTAGTTGGGAGCAGTTTTGTAGTTCTCTAGACCTTTCTTTGTGTTCAATTTTATCTTCAAACCAATACTGGCTCCCTCTTTTATGTTCTTGTTCTCTCTCTCTCTCTCTCTCTCTCTCTCTCTCTCTCTCTCTCTCTCTCTCTCTCTCTCTCTCTCTTTCTCTTTCCTGCCTTCTATTCCTAACCAGGCTAAATCTTCCTGGTTGCACATGTTTTCCTTTCCTCCCCCTCGTTTTCTCCTACTTCTCCCTTCATTCGCTGCCCCCCCCCACTTCCCCTGAGCTCTGGGGGACTTGTCCCTTCCTGGAGCAACACTATTTGTAATAGCAAGAACCTGGAAGCAACCTAGATGCCCCTCAATTGAAGAATGGTTAATGAAGATGTGGCACATCTACACAATGGAATACTACTCTGCAGAAAAAAATAATGGTACCTTGAAATTCGTAGGCAAGTGGATGGCACTTGAAGAAATCATCCTGAATGAGGTAACCCAGTCACAAAAAGAGGAACACAGTATGTACTCACTGATATATGGATTTCAGACCTAGATCAAAGGATCACCAGCCTATTATTCACACCACCAGAGGAACTAGGATACAAGGTTTATTTCACTTTAAAACAAGAATGTTATTTAGACTTTGTAATGAACTTACTATGAGTGAAACAGAATAATATTTATGCATGAAATAATAACAGGAATGAAATAAGGCAATGATGGAGCCTAGGAACATAATGAGGACCTTTAATTCCAGCACTCCAGAGGCAGAGTCAGGTGGATCTCTGTCAGTTCGAGGAGAGCCTGGTCTACAGAGATCATTCCAGGACAGGGTCCA